AAACAAGAAATGTGGGGGAAATATCAACATAAGAATTTAAAATATGTACCTTTAGTCTTTGGTCATCAACTTCTATAATTGTAGCAACACGAATCAACCTGGGGTTTCGTTTATCTACAACTTCAAGTTTCATATTTGGCAGAAAACCATGAGGCAATCTCTGTAACATGAGAAATGCAACATATCATAAGAAATTCAACAACTCAGAGAGTCCACCAAATTTTTTCCTAAAATATTATTGTTTTAGTCTTAACATGCATATTAAAGAGCACATATGACACTGTGCATATATTACTTTCAGTTTCAGGAAACTGAGAAAAGAAAAAAAAATGGGTCATTTTAAAGATAGCTAAAAAAATAAGGGAAAATTAAATTATAAATTCATTAATGATCATAACAAAGTAAAAAAAAGGTCTTGTGTTCTTTTTGGAGAGAGATTTTTGCTTCATAAAAGATCTTGTGTTCTTTTTGGAGAGAGATTTTTGCTATAGGGCATGTGTGCTCCTCAGAGAGAGAAACAGAGAAACTACCCCCTAGTGGGGATGGCCATGCCACAATCCCTTCTCCTTCATTCTCCTCTCAGGATTTTGGGCACACACACAAATGCACCCAGAGTGAGTCTTAAACCACCAGGTTAGAAACTCAAACAGCAGTCAGCCATGTGGCAATCCAGTGATTTAAATACTATGCCACCTGCTGCCCCCAGAAAGGTTCTTATTATAGTTTATATATTAGTTTAGGTTCTTTTTTTACGACATTAACCTTATAAATAAAGAAATTGTTGACAGAATTATTCTCATTACCACTGGAGCATAAAAACCTTAAAATATACTTAGATTAAGAACTATGCAATTGCAACTGTTATACTGTTTTAAAGTCATGCCACGATTTAATTTTCAGCCATACTTTATGCTGTTGTTACTTCATCTTTAATGTAAGAGGACTGAACTGTGTTAAGTTAAAGTTTCTTTCAAGTCTTAAAATGCTAGGAAACGAGTCTATTATGACAGACATATAGGCAATAATACAATGGAGCAGGAGAAAGGACATTGGGACTTACCAACTCATTAAAACTATGGAAAGCTATCAAAAAATCAAAATCAAAAGACAACTCTGACCATTTTTATAATTCGCCAACAAGTTTCACTTTGAAAGTTATTACACATAAACTTGTTCAACCGACTTTATAGGAAATAAAAAGGTATTGAGTTCTTCAAGTCTAGAAATGGCAATAGGAAAATAAAATCCTACTAACATATAATGGTCAAATCTTTGTCCAATATTTGATATGTTTCTCTCCTGCTTATGTGGAAGCCTATTGTTTTTCCAAAGCTCATCATTACTCCTACTAAATGGAAAATATGTACAATTAGGTCTCTGAACCCTGAAAATCTTTCTGTTTTTCCCAAGTTCACAGTCCTGAATAACCAAGGTAAATGTTGTAGATGCCAAAGATACATACTTGATTGAATCCACAATAACCCTGTGACAGAGCTTGGAAGTTTCCTTTTCACTAAATCTTTTCATAATTTCATTTTCGTTTACTCTTTGAAGAGTAAAAAGTTTTTGAAAGAAAGCAAGAGAGAGACTACCAGTTTCTGGGAATTTTTATTTATTGAACTTTTGCAATTCTTACAACCCTTTGGAGCCTTAGTTTATAACCCTTTCAGTCTTAATTTAATATATATATATATATGTATGTATATATTCTTGCTTTCTTCCAAAAGTGAGAGGGACAGCATCCACAACAGAGCCTTGATGTCGCCATTACCCCCAGGCTCAGCCAGTCCAAATCATGGGCACACACATGCCCAGCATACTCAGAATGGTCTCCAGACATGGACCTGAAACCGTCCCATGTGGGTCAGCTTCATAGAGCAAGGCACCATCTGGCCTCAGCAGCCCTTCTTAATTTTATTATACATCTTCCACCAAATCCTGCCTATTACATAAATTGTATAAAAACTGGCATTTTTTCAAACCCCTTTTGATCCTAGAACACTTTTAGTAAATAAAATCATATGTATAAGCCCAATATACAAAATTATGATTAAAGTTGCATTATGGAGCGTAGAGCACTCAATTAAACTTGAAAGGGAACAGAGGGTAAAAATTACTGTTTAGAACATAAGTATCTGACTATATTATCTATGTAGTTTCTTTTATACTTTAATTTATAGTTAGTTCAACTGTGGAATAAATGCATAAGCACTCATATTTAAACTTTAAAGATCAGTATTCTAACAAATGCTAAAAGAAATGTTTCCCTTAAAATAAATAACACTATATTTACAAAGACAACATACATGTCACCTATTTATTATGTGTAGCCAATATTCAAAGGGTCCCTAAGAAAGTGATACTGTGAAAGTTCGGAGTTTCTAGTCAGGACTAAAAGCAGTAGAACCACTAGGATGCAATCATTAGCAGTTGATGAGGTACTCTGATTAGTACCTCTGGTGTCAGGGAAGGAAATTATCATCTATATTTGTATATGGGAACAACAGCAAATGAGTCATCTGTTTTGTATTATTAACTAAAAGCAAAGCAAAGCAAATTGGTTATAAAAAATGTCACTTGAATTTAAATAGAAAAAACTAAAATAATTTAAAACTACCAAATGAGGAGTCAACTCAACACAGATACTGTTGAAAGGTAAGAGTATATATTTATTCAGAACTTACCATTTTAAAAACTTTGGCAGGAACTGCATTAGCTTGAGTAGCTTCCAGATATTCTGTCCAGGAAAAATGGTCTGGATCAGGATAACCTGAAAAAAAAAAAAAATATATATATACACACACACACACACACACACACACACATACACATACATACACATACAGACAGACATTTATATATATAAAGATTACTCAAATATTTTGTTTACTATATATTATAAAGCATTTGATAACACTTACTGCTATTGAACATTCACTATTTAACAGACCCTGTACTAAGAACTTCATGTATCATCTTACTTAAATCCTAGGGTAATCTCTAAGAGGGCTGAAAGGCAATTCCTGCATGCAAGAATGGCTGTATGCAGGAACAAATGAATGAATGAATGGTTCACTCATTCAGCAAGGTCAAGCAGATTGATCAAGGTCAAATGGCAATGCAAGTAATTAACACAGCCAAGTTCCCAAGCTCCAAAGACACCTTAGAAGTATGAAAATACTTCAGTTATCTGTCCTCAAACCATGAATTAGGGGGAAAAATAAAAAAGAAGCCTCTGAGATCTTTTCAGTTCTTTCAATATTTCTACTAGAGTTTTATTCTCATAATCAAATCTTTTAATTACAATTTATGAAATTGCTATTTATCATTATGATGTAAAAATATATAATTGTCTCGTATGTTTCTGTCTCTCCTTTTTTTTATAGTTTGAGTGTATGTGTCCTCTTCAGGGAGAAAGAGAGAGAGGAACAGGATCACACTGAAAAACCCTTTTTCCTCCCTTTCTCCATCTTGTTGGGATTTGAGGCTTGCAAGCACGCATACCCAGCATGTTTTTCAAGCTGCTGGGGTGAGGTTTCAAACTGTAATGGGCTATGCAAGATCTTGCTCCCTCAATCACTAGACCAGAGAACCAGCCCACATGTTTCTCTTCATATTTATGCTCTTTTATTCTAATTACATTTGCCAGAGGCTATCTATATTGTGTAGTTTTCTTTTTTTCTTAAGGAATAAATACTTAGACTTATTCATCAGCTCTTACTGTTTTCCTTTATCTTTTCTAATTATTTCAACTGTTGTTTTTACTCTTATTACTCCCTTTTTTCTTAGGTTTTAGACTTGTTTTGTCAAATTGAATTGTAAACATGATTTGTTTTCATTTTTTTTAAATAATAGGATCATTTAAGTCTATAAACCTGCCCTTGTTATCGCTGAATACAACTATAGACAGGGTCTTTATTTAGGGTCTTTACACCATAACCTACTCCAAGCTTCAACTGGTCAGGATCACAGGCCACACACACATGCCCGACAAGTACAGGGAGACTTTAGGAAGTAAACCTGGGATCTTCCAATATGGCTTCAGCATCATGGAACATAGCATTATAACTCTGTGGCCCTGTGACTAGTCAACAACAGCAACAAAATATTTTAAGTGTTGTATCACACTTTTTAAAAAATATAATGTCAATATACATAATACATCAACTTTATTATACAAAAACCTGATTTTTATTTAAGCAGAAGGCCAGAAGTGGTATGCGAAAGTCTCTAAAATAACTATTTTCTGTACAGTTTTCTAGTATTTCTGAAATATTTTCTTTCATTTTTAAACTTCTTACTAAAATAGATTTAAGAAAAAGTAAACAAATCAAATGGACAGCCTAGAATTGTCACAGAACTAATTTACCTGTGGAACCAGACCCTGACTGAAACCAGAACTCAATAGAGCCCCAAATCCTCTCTCTCTCATACAACCTTCTACCACATTACTCTCCTCTAAGAGAAATCTTGACCCTGATTTCTAGCCTAGAAACGAGATTTGCATCTTCTACTTTTTTATATATAAACGTAATCACACAGCATGTGCTCATTTATGGGAAATGTCTGCTCAGCATTCTAACTGTGAGTCATAAGATTATTGTCTGCAGACGTTCATGTTCATTGGTTGTATAATATTCTACCATGTGACAATTTGAAATGTCTCTGCTCAGCATTCTAACTGTGAGAGTCATAAGATTATTGTCTGCAGACGTTCATGTTCATTGGTTGTATAATATTCTACCATGTGACAATTTCCTAATTTATTTATCCATTCTACTTATGATAGTCAGTTGGGCAGTTTCCTTTTGAAGGCCACTATGGAAACTGCTCCTGTGAACATTCTAGTATATGCTTTTCAGTGACCAGAAGTATCCATTTCTGTTGGAATGTATCCAGTAGTAAAACTGCTGGATTATGGGGTACTTTGCTACCTATTTTAATGATTCTTTAGCATATATAATGTTTAGTAGGAATTACACTTTTCATTTAATACAGAGAAAATTTCTGTTTTGAAAACATTTTATATTTTGCCTCTAATCTTTTGTTTGTTTGTTTTTGGTTACAAATAGTGGCATTGCAGGGTAACCTCTAAATCTGAGGTGCTCTGCTCATTTCTGGGACCAACATGAAGACTGAGCAGTCCCAAGTTACAACCCGTCTCTTTCAACTAACCTCCCTGATCCATAGCTAGAAAGGTAAGAGACAAAAAAAAAAAAAAAATTCCCCCTATATTCTCGGGTCTTTTCCCCCTTTTTCTTCCTCTCTCTCTCTCTCTCTCTCTTCTTTTTAAATTGTTGTTTTTAACCTTTTCTTTTGCTAATTCTTTAGTCTCCTCTCCCTACAAAGAACAAGGGCATTGTAGGGAGACCTCTAAATCTAAGGTGCTCTGCTCATTTTGCTTGCAGCATCTGCATTGTTTTTTCTTTTTGTTTTCTTTAATTTTTTTCTGTCTATTGTCTTTTGTTTCTCTCTTTTCTTTTCTCTTTTCTGTTTGTATTTTCTTCTTCTCCTATCTTATTGCATCATTTTTCTGCTTTGTTTCCACATAGTGAGAGTACAGACAGATTTATGTGCATAGCAGCCGAATCTGTGAATTTGGATAGGCTTACAGCTGCACAAAGGCAGAAATTCCTCTTCATAAGTTTGAATTCAAATCTCTCTCTGTGGATACCACGTTGCAAAACATAGTAGAGGAGAGAAACTGGCACAGAAGTACCTCACACAAAAGGAAAGTGCATGAGCTTACAGTTGCAGAAACCTCCAACAAATTAGCTAAACATGAATATACGACCCAATGACTAAAAATCATAGAAGAAATACTGCAGGGTGAACAGCAGGACAAGGCTGCAGAAAAAGTGTGGATCATCTCCTGCATGCTTCTGAACTCTCAGTTGAAACACTACAGCTCAGCCCAAGTGCACTTGTCCTCTAGAAACCAGGACTTTGTAATATCCAGTTCCAATGACAAAACTGTAGGTAGCCTGGTGAGTGTCAAGGAAATGGACCTGCAGAGAGACTGCAGAGCACCTATTCCAGCACAACTCTGAACACTCAGATTTAACTTCAAGAAATTAGTAAGAAACATATAATCCATCAGATGACCAGAAGCCACTGCAGAAGCACAAGAAATATGAGAAAGCAAAAAAATCTCTCCCTCAAAGGAAAAGAACAATCCCTCACCATCCACAGACAATTCAACAGAACTCGTGGATATGTCAGATAAAGATTTCAGAATATATACAGTAACTAAACTAACAGAGATGCAAGAGAAGAGAGACAACAAGTTCCAGAAGATGCAAAAGGGACAATGAGTTCCAAGTTGTGAGGAAGTTCTTCCATGATCTGAAAGAAAAAATACACACCATAAAAAAATTAAAATAAAAATAAATCAATTGGACTGTTAGAGATATAGGCTGTAATGCACGAAATCAAAACCTCCCTTGAAAGTATTAAAAGCAAATTAGGTCATGCAGAAGGTCGAATCTCAGATGTAGAAGATAAAACCTCTGACCTTGAAAAAATCACCCAAAAGACAGAAAATAACTCAAAAACTGAGAAGAATATACAAGTAATACTAAATACCATTAAACACCCAAACATCAGGACAATCAGTATCCTAGAAGGTGAAGAAACTATGAGGGTATTGATAATCTATTCCATGAAATCCTGGAAAAAAACTTTCCAAACCTAGAGAGGTGGTTGAATATCCAGATCCAAGAAATACAAAGGACCTCAAATAGAATCAACCCAAGAAGATCTTCTCCAATGCACATCATAGCCAGATTGATTGAAACCACAGACAAAGACAAAATACTAAAAATTGGCGAGAGAGAAACATCAAGTTACATACAAAAGTTATCCCATCAGGCTAACACAGGACCTCTCATCAGAATCAATGCAAGCAAGGAATGAATGGGAAAATATATTCAAAGTGTTAAGTGAAAAACAGTTTCAACCAAGAATTAACTATACCCGGCAAGACTATCCTTCAAATGGACAGAAAAGATAAAAACATTCTCAGATAAACAAAACCTGAAAGAACTTACTAACACCTGACCAGCTCTTCAGGAAGTTCTGAAGAGAGTGTTATACTAGGAAAACTAAAGAGAGACACATAGAATTAAGAGAACAAAAAAGAGCCAAGAAAAGGGTCAACTTAATGGTAGGAATGAGTCCAGAAACAGCAATAATAATGTCAAATGTTAACTTCCAGAATTTAAATGGAAAGATCCAACCACAGTAACTGCAAATTCAACAGAAGAGAGGTTAATTACATGAGACTGTACAGGAGAAATAGAATTTTATGACATTTGAGTAAAACATTACTGATTTTCTCCTTTTCTTTGTTTTCCATATTTAAGGATTTTTGTCTTCTTTTGAGCTGTTGCTAGGTTCAGCAATTTGCTTAATATTTTTGGAAATTGAAACATAAACTTTTCTTACTTCCTGACCCCTCTGGAATTGGAAAATATCTGTAGGTATTCCTTTTTTGTGGCAGAATGATTATTTGCATAAATTCAATAATATCTGTTGCCTTGCATCAGAAATTTGAAATACCAGTTATTGACAATGCTTCAACTGGAATGTTATTTCTGAAGATATGACCAGAAAGAACCACGGTCGACTAGGTGGGAGTCCAGTGACATAGCCATTACGCTAACTGCTGGTCCTGAGAAATGTTTTAATCTCATATAATCCCACTTATCTATTTTTGTGATTATTGCCTCTATTTGGGGGGTCTTATTTAAGAAGTCTTTGCCTTTTCTG